CACCAACCTACACCCACCGCACTCGCCTCCACTGCCCACACTGCCCTCGCACCTTCACGCATCGCATGGGTCTATTCGGCCACATGCGCATCCACAACGACCTGCGGTAGACAACCGCCGATCACACCACACATTCCCTCACTCCCTACCTCCTAATACCATCACCGCACCAGACATCAACCCCCACACACCTCATGCACTCAACTGCCGCCTCCCACGCAAGTGGGAAGTGTGCATCTCGACTCGGTCTCCATGCGGTTTCGGCTGCACGGGTGACTTGTGTCCGAGACTATCCCGACACGTCAAGTGTCGTGGATAGGAAGGTTGCTGATTGACGCCCGTTCTCGGTTCACGCAGTTCGTCACGTTGTGTTTGTGTGTTGTGTAGTGGCGGACTGATGGGCTGGGGACGGGCTGAAGCAGCACCTTCCACGGCCCTCTCACGCATGTGAGAGACACGCCGTTCAACCCCCGTTGTGTGAAATCCTGGTGTCTGTGTGTATGGGGGGCCAGGTCGTGCTGTGGCGCGCGCAGGCATGGTCAATCGACCATGTCAGCCACCGCGCCCATTCCCCACTCCAGTCTACTGACCGGCTCGGACAGTGGCTGGGGTGTGGGAATGGGAAGGGAGAGTGAGGTCGACGACTCAGCGCATTTTCCTCGCTATAAACAATCTGACGCGCTTGAAGCTATCGCGGTGCGCTAAAAGCCGTGGCTTGGAAGGTTGCCAACTGACGGGGTAACTTGGACCTCCTCCTTAACGGGAGGCGGTCTGAGAGTCAGGCTGCAATGGCTCCGTTTTCATGTGGTCTTTATGGCATTCCCACCACAGTGTGGGATCCGAGCCAGGCGTTGGCGGCACGCCCAGGTGCGGCTTCGGCCGTGCCAGCCTCCAAATCTATGTTGTGTTGGTTCAAATCCTGGGTATTGTTGTGTGGAACAGGGGGTGTGGTGGAACGCCAAGGTGAGGATCCGTCCGAGCCATCCACCTGCGGCCTCCCTCGTCTCCGGTCTTCTTGACTCTGTCTTGACACCGGGCCCAGGCGGGGGAGGAGGAGAGAGTGTAGGTAGATGCTACGCAAGTCTACTGGCACTATAAACCCCTGCGTAAGTCACCGTCCCTGCTCCCACCGCTGCTGCAGCTGTGGGGCACACGGTGGACATCGTCGAAATCGACGGTCGAAATGTCATCTGTTGAATAAGTTTACTATTTGTTTATCATTGGTTATAACTTGCCCTATTTCATTAATAATAGTTCGTGGTCCTGACTGTCGATGATTACTCATTTGTTTCTGAAACATCTGAGCTGTTCGTTCGGGGGATTCTAGAGCCCGATGTTCTGCTGCTATGGTATTTTGTGTTTCTATTCTCGTATTTAGTTTGTGAATTTCCCTAATTCGTCGAAGTGTGGAAAAATAACTCACAGAGGGGTCGCGTGGCTGTTTTTGTAGCTTTTGTAGTTTAGTTGAAAGGAAGTTCGGGATTGGTGATTTCTTATACGGGATTCTTTCGTCTATCAAGGTATCTCGAATTATAAACAGGACAGAGTATAATAGGTTAACTGCTTCCATAGGGGATGTTGTTAAAAGATATGGGCTCCAGTCCAATGATCTAATATAGTTGTTCATGGAGTCCTCGTCAAGTTTTTTGGGTTTAGGCGGGTGTTAATAAAATGGGATGCTAGTTTTGCGTTTAAGGGGAGTGTTGATATTATTGCTTTGTGGTCAC